AACCAGCCCTGAAACCAGAATGAAATGTGTCTAGATAATCCATTTTAAGCAGAAATCCCTGAATTTGAGAAACAACCACACGCAGAAGTACTTTGCCCAAGAAAGAGATATTGGAGACTGGCCCATAATGCTTGGGTACCCGACATAACCTGAAAAACTCCATCAGTACTTAAAAGTGTTATGTTGGGTAAGTTTGCTCTACGTGCATCATCGGTGGGGTTCAGTGTGCTCTCTGGCTGTAGAGTAAACTACAACTCCCACTATGGTGAGTCAGTCCCCTCAAACCCCTCCAGTTGGTTGAGTTAGTCATGGGGGTTCTGTGGGCCAAGTTTGGTCCAGGTCCATCATCAGTGGAGGTCACAGTTTCTCTGGTTGTGGGTGAACTACAACTCCCAGAAAGGAAAGTCAGAGTCCCGTCCTCCACAAGTAATCAAATTTCAGCATATCAGGTATGTGTGCCTAGTTTGGTCCAGATCCATCGGTGTTTGGGTTCACAATGCTCTCTGAATGTAGGTGAACTACAACTCCTATAAATCTCTCTAAAGGCTTCCAGTATGTTTTGTTGGTCATGTGGGTTCTGTGTGCCAAGTTAATTCCAGGTCCATCGTTGGTGGAATTCAGAGTGCTCTTAGAGTGCAGGTGAACTATACATCCCAGTACCTACAACTCCTATAAATCGTAAAATCTCCCCAAACCTCTCCAGTATGTTCAGTTGCTGGTCAATTCCTATGTTTGTTTGTGCCATAGAAAAGAATAGGAAAGGGTTAAGGGAGAGTCGGTGGGCATGGTCATGCTAATTCCACACCAATGGAGAGAGTAAGAAACACTGGGATGTCGATGGGGGAGGAAACACATAAAATCTGGATGAAATTGTCCCCATATGAAAACCTTCCCTTGGGTGGTGTTTGTGGAGGACATTGATGGGGCTCTTGGCCATGTTCATGGTGCTGACTATAACCTGCAATGTCATTGGAAGGAGGGCCATTGGTGTCTCCTGCGTAGTGGGAGCTATAGCTGTTTGTGGAGGTGGGAGCCTGTCTGTGTAAGTAAACACCCTGGCCACACACACACACATGCATATTTTCACTTTTATTATGTGTATAGAGTGTGGGATCCAGGGACATTTTTGTTCCAGAAGAGGCCTTACAACCATGTCATTCGGGCATATTGGGACCTTGCCTTGTAAAGTGGCATTACACAAGATTTTCCCCTTGTCCTTCAAAGAATATCTCCCCTCCCTTTGCTGCCATATTTCTACTGCGTTTTGACTAGGCAAGCAGTGTTTCGACTGGAGTTAAATCCTCGCCCACTCTCTTCTCAACTTGGTAGAATTCTTGCGTTGTATAGGTTTAGCACTTGATGTGGGTGCAAAGAACAGCTGTGTTATGTATGAAGGGGGCTGTATCATGTTATGTGCTACCTCTGCTCAGAAGCAGGCATGGACAAACTTAGGCCCTCCAGGTGTTTTGGACTTCAAATCCCACAATTCCTAACAGCCCCAGGCCCCTTCCTTTCCTCCTCAGCCGCTTAAGCTGCTAGGAATTGTGGGAGTTGAAGTCTAAAACACCTGGGGGACTCATGCTTGCCCAAACCTGATTTAAGGAATCCTGTCTCACCCAGAGATGGCCCAGTGCACCAGCAGTTTGACCTGATAAGGTCCTGACCTCTGTGACTTTCAACTGAGAATATAAGTGGCTTCTGCTCTAGCATACATTTCGTCACTTGTTTCCTCCTGTCATCATTTCCACCCTTGCTATAAAAATCTGTATTTAAAATGAATCATAGTACAAAATAAACAGTACAGTCACTGTCAAAATGGCTACAAGGAGGGAATAGTTGGTAGTTAACTTTTATAAGGGACAGCTGCCAAAAATATTAAAAATTAAGTAGGTACTTTTCATTACAAAATTGTGTGTTAAGCACTTTTTTTTGTCGTGTCAGGAGCGACTTGAGAAACTGCAAGTTGCTTCTGGTGTGAGAGAATTGGCGGTCTACAAGGACGTTGCCCAGGGGATGCCCGGATGATTTGATGTTTTTATCATCCTTGTGGGAGGCTTCTCTCATGTCCCCGTATGAGAAGCTGGAGCTGATAGAGGGAGCTCATCTGCCTCTCCCTGGATTTTAACCTGTGACCTGTCAGTCTTCAGTCCAGCCGGCACAGGGGTTTAACCCACTGCACCACCGGGGGCTCCGTGTCAAGCATTGAAAGGGTTAAATGGATGCAATGACTCAGCAAATGCTGCAGTTCAATACAAGTAGGTGTATCTATAGCTTAGTACGCCTCAGTGTTAGTTGCCTTCAGTCTGAGAGCGGCCTCAGTATGAGAAGGCTCCAGAGTTAGCCTCAGTGAGAGAAAGGCCTCAGTCTGAGAGAGGCTTCAGTATGAGAAGGATCCAGAATTAGAGAGCCTTAGTGAGAAAATGGCCTCAGTCTGAGAAGGCTCCAGAGTTAGCCTCACTCTGAGAGAGGCCTCAGTATGAGAAAGCTCAAGTGTTAGAGAGGCCTCAATATGAGGTAAACCTTTGTCTTTTGTCATGTGAGTCAAGACTAAAAGCTAGATACAAGAAAAACATATTCATCTGTCAGTTCAGGTGTGGTTTCCACCTTCGGGTCATCAGACATCAAACATCTTGAAAGCCCACAGCAGCAACAGGCTTATTTGCGCTCGTATGTGTATATACAACACTAGCAGCACAAACTTAGTTGCTGAAGGGATTTATTTGCTTCTTACAAAATATTTGCAATAGCTTAACAACACTTTAAATAACTTTAAATAAGCAGTTTGGGATGAGTCTCCCATCTACAGAACAGAACAAACAATCCCCACTTTACACTGAACATAAGGCAGAGAGAAGTTTGCAGATAGCAGCAGTTGAATTAAAGCTGCGGATACCATTGATTGGGGGGGGGGGGAGTCCAAGTCTCATTGTTTTCCTAACTAGTAAATTAACAATCATGCATCACTATAGGCATAGCCTCGTTGGGAGTTCAGAATAGCAAATCACCCTTTGAAATGCTGAATAACTGGTTTTTGCCTTCTAATTTTTTTTAACTCCATTATGAGCTGTATTGGAGACTTCTCAGAGCTGCTCACTAAAGCTGCTGAAGATCGAGTAATTGTTCATCAATGAGGTTCTCAAACTTCACCCCCAAGTTCTGCAGCCAAGACACAGTATATATTAAAACCTATCTGTTCCCTTTTTTTACAGCTTCTCAAGGCTTTATATGAAACATTGCCCACCTTCAATTAAATGCAATTTTTTAAACAATTAAAAATGAACCAAAGGTACTTTCAATCAAGTGTCCCATTAGCAGCAAAACAAGAACTGTGTGCAGGGTCCACCGTCAGGAGTGGGTTATCTCTGGCCCCGAGTGCTTCTGGATTGCAGCTCCCATCACGTTGGTCACGGCTGGTGGAAACTATGGTCCAACATAATCTACAGAGCCATAGCTTGCCCCACTCCTGCTTTCAGCCAAAGCACTCCTATCCACCCCTCCAATACCTACACCAGAATTCATTTACATACAGAACAATTGCACCTCGTAGGCGCTTACACACACAACCTTTGCTACAACAAGGGCAATTCAAGTGCACAGGAGGGATATACTTACTGGTTTAAGCTACGTCTGACTAAGGCTGCAATAGTGTTTTCTCAGGTTGTGCTCACACATCATTACTTAGGAAACAATACTGATACGGGCTAAATTAGCTGTTTGAAAGATGATTCTCATCTAATTCGTTGTTAGTTTGTGGTGAAATTGGAGAATGTATATAATACTCTTTGCCTTTTTTTACTTTACTGGACTTTATATACAACTATTAGATTTTTAGTTCCAATCTTACTCAGGTTGAGGGAGTAATGTAAGATTTTGGAGGGCTTTTCACTGGGACTTCACATTGATACACCTGGAGAAAGGAGTAGCCTCTCTTCGCAGGAAGCATTGTTGTGGCTGCTTTCAGTGAAATTAAAAGAGACAAGTGGCCTAGAGACAATTTGCTCACCTTCTAAAGTAATTCTGAATTTATGGTACTGGGAAACGTTCAATAGAGATATAAGTCTAAAGATGAACATTGATCAACGGGCCGTTCCTTACTCTTAATTCCTTATGAGTATATATTTTTCCTCTTAAGAGAGAAAAGATTGGATTTGGAGAAGACACAACGTCTGTCTGTTTAGGGGAATCAAACAATGGATCTGTCCAGAATGGTTTACTCTTCTAAAATTGTATTTCTTATGAAATCACAAAGTATTCAGTGCCAATGTTATATCTGAGATAAAAAATAGCGTTAGTGCTGTAAATAACTTAGTTCATATCATGCTTAGTATCTGAATTGCCACTAAAAAGGAGTTTCTATTTTTCAACACATGACCATAGACAATCTAAACCAGGATTTCAAGAGTGACGGCTCTATACGCTCCAAACTATTGGTTGGCTCTCATATCTCCTGTGTACTGACCATTGCAGTTATTTGAAACAACTCACCACGTTTTCTAAGGAATCAGTGCCAGTAACTGACCCTGAGCAATTTTGGTTTCAATATTGTGGAATCAAGTGTTCCAATGGACACAACTCTCCCCCAGTGGACTCAAGCCATTCTAACAACAACAACAAAATATCTTACATACACCCTGGAAAAATACATACATGCAACCTCGTGTTTCATATGAAACATTAAAGGGCAATTTCAGGAACGGTTGTTTCCTAATGTAATATTAACGTGTACATTCAGAGAGAGAGACAGAGAGATGATGGAAGGAAAGAAGAAGGGAAAGGATGGAAGAAAGGAAAGGAAAGAAGGGTAAGGAAAAAAGAAAGGAAAAGAGAAAAAGGAAGGGGAAAAGGAAAGAAAGAAGAAATGAAAGGAATGGAAGGAAGAGAAAGGAAAGGAAGGGAAAGGGGAAAAAGGAAGGAAGGGAAAGGAAAGGAAGAAAGGGAAAGGAAAGGAAAGGAAGGAAGGGAGGGAGGGAGGGAGGGAGGGAGGGAGGGAGGGAGGGAGGGAAAGGAAGAAAAGGAAAAGAAGGAAGGGGAAGGAAGGAAGGGAAAGGAAAGGAAGGAAAAGGAAGAAAAAAGAGGAAAGGAAAGAAGAAAGGAAGAAAAGAAAAAGAAGATGGGAAAGAAAAGGAAAGGGAGGAAGGAAGACAGAAAGAGTAGAAGGGAAGGAAGCGTTAAGGCTGAGAAGGGAAAGATTTATATTTTGCCCGGTGTTCATCTATTTCCTGTTTAGTTTTCTTGATACAGCTGAAGATTTCTTTAAAGAGCAGTTTGTATTCAGGTGGACTACTCGAACTACTTGTGGGCTCAGGCGTTCTAGTACATGTGTCCAATACGACATTTCCCACACTTACATCTTTGGAATACTGTTTTGAGGTCTGCACCGCCTTATGTTTCAAAGACCCTTCATCTATTTGACACTTCTTCAGCAGTTCTTCATACTTGACTTTCAGGGCATTGTACTGTGCGTCCACCTCATTGAGCAGAGAGATGCCCCTTTGCTTCACGGCTTCTGCCCGCCGAATACAGGTCTCTTCGTGGCCTTTGAGGAGGTCCCCACCCGCGCCACTGGCCAGGAGGGTCTCGCTGCTGCTCCTCTTGAGAGCCCGTTTGTCCGGTTCCAGAAGAGTTAAAGGCAGCCCCTCGGAAGGGCTCGGGCTCAGCTCTCTTTCTAAAGAGTCTTTAAAGGAAATGAAAAAGGACTCCGGAACGAGCTTTTCCACCCCATTCACAAAGGTGTTTTCGGACTGAAAGATCTGCTTCATTTCTGCCACTTCGACCTCCAGCTCTTCAGCTCTGGCACGGTACAGGTCGACATCCACCAGCCTCTGCTCGAGATCACAATTCTCCTTGAACATGAGGCTGTACTCTTCCTCTATGGTCATCCGCTTCTCTTTTTCCAAATTCAGCTGAGCTTGCAAGAGCGTAACGGCCTTTTTCAGGTTCTGGTTCTCTTCCTCCAGAGGACTCGGCTGGCTGTCCATCGAAGTAATTTTTTCCGCAAAGATATGATCGTAAACGAAATACCTGGGTACATATCAAAAGAGCCAAGAAAATACATTAATCCATCTTTTCCTCGATCAATATAGTTCATTATAAAATTGATAGACTCTACAGGCTAGCTGGCATCCCCCCCCCTCACAATGTGTATTGGATTATGCAAGGAATCAGTTAATGTGTGTATGTCAACTGTAAGATAAAATGCATGAAGCTGATTGATTGGACAATGCCGGGGAATATGGCTAAACCTGGGACTTTTGGATACTGTTACGTTTTTGTTCAGGTTTGAGCTGTGCAAGTATTTAGAGAGAAAAAGAGAGAAGCAGAGAGAGAGACAGAGTTTGGAGTGTGCTGAGGGAGAAAAGGAAGGGGCCTGAGGCTGTTAGGAATGGTGGGAGTTGGAGTCCAAAACACCTGGAGAGGTGGCCCAAGTTTGTCCAGGACTGATCTACCAGTAGAATTACAGGTGACCCAATGAGAGACAGCTTCCACATTGTGACTTTATACTCTTTACCCACTACACAAACTTAACATATTATAATGTCTACATATGCTTCTTCCCTTTTCCTAATTCAGTCATACCAGGAAGGGACATTTCAGCTATTTTCCCCCTCCAGAAAAGAACTAATTTTAGCATAAACTTGTGCCTTACTTGCGAAGGTCATACAGTTCCTTTAGACACGGAAAACTGTGAACTGATCTCGGCTGCTCCGGCCTTTCCCGGCTCACGAGACCTTGCCCAGAATTCTTCAACTCTTCCACTTGCCTCTGGAGGTCATCGATGTGTGTTTGAAGGCTTTCAATTGTCTCAGTTAGGCTGAAAAAAAGAAAATATGGGTGTGGTGGAGACTCCTTCTTTGGAGTCTGGATGTCCATCTGTCAAGTGTTCTTTGAATGTGATTTTCCTGCTTCGAGGTGTTGGAATATGCAAGGAATCAGTGTGTGTGTGGCAACTGTGAAACAAGATGCATGAAGCAATTCCTGGAGAGCAAGCTGAGCCTGGGACTTTTGGTTACTGTTACATTTTTGTTCAGGCTTGAGATATGCAGATATTTAGAGAGAGAGAAAGAAAGAAGCAGAGAGAGACAGAGTTTTGAGTGTGCTCTCACTTCATGAACTACTGAAGGAGTTTATCCACATGGACAAAGAAAGACCATTTAAAATCTCTCAAAAAAGGACATTATGTGCATTGATGCAATTGATCGCATTGTACATATATTGTTCTAAACTACGAAGATTAAAATGCTTGTTCTTTATTGTTCATCTGCGTGGCATATTTTCTTTCTCTGGCAAGGCAGCGTGTGGGCTGATTAAATGTGAACTGCACGTGGTTTATTTCACATTATGCCACACTTGGCAGGGGGTTGGACTGGATGGCCCATGAAGTCTCTTCCAACTCTATGATTCCATGAAATTATTGTTTCAGGTTCTTGATTTTGGTATCTATCTATTCAGGGATCCCAGGATCTTACTCCTCCTGCAAAATGAGACTGGGAGACCCTTCAGGCCTCCTTCTTTACCACTGCAATCATATGCGGAGGAGGTTAAACTCCTTGACTTCAGGAAAGGGATTCCTCTCTTTTAGAAAATCCCATTCTGCAACATTTGGGGGACTCTGTACCAAAAAATTTCCATCAGTGCCTTGAGGCCGTTACTGGATGGTTGCTTGCCAGCAGGTTGAGGGTGAACCCAGCGAAGATCATTTGGCTGGGCCATCCGGGTGGCGTACCTGAGGGCCCGCTTATCCCCCTACCAACCCCAGATATTACTTCGGTCCAAAGACCAAAATTTTGCTTGAAGTCCCCAACATCCGGACTTATCATCTGTCCTCTACTAGGCAGAGAGCCTTCTCGATTGTGGCCCCTTATTTATGGGATGCCTTGCCAGTTGAAACCCAAACTATCCGAGACCTACTTGTTTTTCGGAAAGCCTGTAAAACCTTTCTCTTCTGACAAGCTTTCAACGGGTGAATAACTCGGGACTATGCCTGTTCTTGTTTTATTGTATTTTAAAGTTAATTGTATTGTTTTAATCTAATGCTGTAAACCGCTCCGAGCCAAATTGGGAGTAGCGGTATACAAGTCAAATAAATAAATAAATAAATAAAATAAACATGGGATCTTGAAGTTTTGTTCAACATGGGGAAACAAATGCAACAAGACCCAAAATAACAAAGGGAGAGGCAGGCTGGGCTATAGCACAGCAGGTTAACCACCAGTTGCAGTAAATCTTGCCAATCAAAAGGTTGACAGTTCGAAGTCCGGATCAAGGTGAGTTCCTGGCCTTTAGCCCAGCTTCTGCCTACCTAGCAGTTTAAAAAACAGCAATCTGAGTAGATAAACAGGTACTGCTTAAGCAGGGAGTTATTTAAGGCACCTATAAGGAAATACCAGAAAACGCCAGTGATTCAATCAAGGAGGAAGTTTACAAACAAAGCTCTTTGGTAGGAGAGACGGAGTGACAGCACCCCACATGGCCTTAACCGAGGACAAGCCTCCAAGATGCCGAAGATGGGGAAAGCCTATATATACTTCTATCTATGTACAGTTGTCTGTCTTGTCAGTGTATAATGGCTCTGAATGTTTGCCGTATATGTGTTCTATGATCCACCCAGAGTACCCTTCAGGGTGAAAAGGGTGAAATATAAATACTATAAATAAATAAAAATAAATATTCTACATAGTTTTCCTTCTGATTGTATATAGATGCAGTGTATGCTGATAAATGACAGGAAACAAAGTGCTGCAGTAAAATATTACCTTATTATCTTTTGCTGTGCGCCTCTACTATCGGCAACCAGTTTTTGATTAGCGTCTTCTAGTTCCCTGGCAGTAACATCAAGCTGCTCATAAACTTTGGCATGTTGGTCATTCATCTGACGCAGAAGTTCCACCTGTTTTGTAAGATACTGAAAAATAATTTATGATTAGCACTCAACCAGCAGTTCAAAGAGTCAGTTTTTCGGCTGCTTTTATTGCACTGGTCAATAATGGCAGAGTAATCTCCCAGGCTTGTATAAAAGCAAACGTGGTGAACGTTCCCCGTTTTAGCTCTAAAAGTATACTGTTTACACACTAAAAGAAAATGGAAAAGAGATCAGAATCGAGGTCCATAGGGGCTGAAATGGCACAATAGGTTAAACCAGGCATGGGCAACTTCAGCCCTCCGGGTGTTTTGGACTTCAACTCCCACAATTCCTAACAGCCGGTGTCATTGAATATTTGCATATGTATGTAAATGCTATAATCTGCTCTGAGTCCCCTAGAGGATAAGGGTGCAATGTAAATAAAGATTATTATTATTATTATTATTTGAAAAACAACAAGATGAGTCCACAGCAGACACTCTGCTGGCTGTTGAATTGGATCACACGTCGGACACTTCCTAAGTGTCTAGGACTGTGTCATGTATCGGCAAATAATGCGTGCAGATCCCAGTAAGGTGACCTTCTGCAGCTGGCAGATGGTAATTTTGAAGCTGAAGATCTCTCCCTCTGTCCCTTCTCTTCCTTTTTGGAAACAGATGGCAAATCCTCCCACCAAAAGCCCTCCTCCACTGTGATTGGCCGGCCTCTCAGCTAAGGGGAGGGATGTTTCTGAGACCAAGTGGGAAGGGGAGACAGATGTGCTCAACGCATGGCGGCGTGGTGTGCACGTGTGGGAGAGGGAGAGCATGCAAGGTGGGAGCGAGACTCATGTAAACGAGTCCCTTCAAAGCATGCAGGTTCTGTGTGGGAAATTTGGCCAAATTCTATCATTGGTGGGGTTCAGAATGCTCTTTGATTGTAGGTGAGCTATACATCCCAACAACAACTCTCAAATATCAAGCTCTATTTCCCCAAGTGTTCACGTGTGGGCATTTTGAGTATTTGTGCCAAGTTTGGTCCAGTTCCATCATAGAGTTGGAAGAGACCTCATGGGCCATCCAGTCCAACCCCCTGCCTAGAAGCAGGAATATTCCATTCAAAGCACCCCTGACAGATGCCCCATCCAGCCTCTGCTTAAAAGCTTCCAAAGAAGGAGCTTCCACCACACTCCAGGGCAGTGTTCCACTGCTGTACGGCTCTCACAGTCAGGAAGTTCTTCCTCATGTTCAGATGGAATCTCCTTTCTTGTAGTTTGAATCTACAGTGCTCTCTGGATGTAGGTGAACTACAACTCCCAAACTCAAGGTCAATGCCCATCAAACCCTTCCAGTGTTTTCTGTCAGTCATGGGAGTTCTGTGTGCCAAGTTTGGTTCAATTTCATTGTTGGTGGAGTTAAGAATACTCTTTGATTGATCATTATCACAGACACAGGTGAACTACAACTCCAAAATTCAAGGTCAATGTCCACCAAACCCTTCCAGTATTTTCTGCCAGTCATGAGAGTTCTGTGTGCCAATTCCATCGTTGGTGGAGTTCAGAATGCTCTTTGATTGTAGGTGAACTATAAATCCCAGGAACAACTCCCAAATGGCAAAATCAATCCCTCTCAACCCCACCAGTATTGGGGTTTTGTGCCAAATTTGGTCCAGTAAATGATAATACATCCTGCATATCAGATATTTACATTACGGCTCATAACAGTAGCAAAATTAGTTATGAAGTAGCAATGAAAATAATGTTATGGTTGGGTGTCACCACAACATGAGGAATTGTATTAAGGGGTCATGGCATTAGGAAGTTGTAGAAACAATCCATATGAAGTAAGAAGGCACCCTATGGCTGATCTGTACGTGCTGATGAAATATTCCTCCAAGGGGAATTACTGCAAGGGGAGAGACAGGTTATTTAATCTCAGCCAGGGTGTTCCTGTTTTGCTTAAATCTGTATGAAATGTAATCTTCTTTATTCAAGAAACACAACAGGTTGTTTATAGTTGTGAAAACTGCTTTCGGAAAGCCTTGGATAAGAGGTCTCCTGGATAAAGAGCACTAAACCATTAGCTTTAAGCGGCTTTGCAAGAGGCATCTTAGTGTCAAACCTTGGATTTCTATTTCCACTTCACACTACTTAATCTCACGCTCCAAGGAGGGGAGAAAGAAAGACGCTCTGACTCCCCGTGTCTCTCCAATATGCAGGGTGAAACAGGTCGATTTAGAATATTTCCAAAGGATCAGGTTGCACAAACCCAGTTACAATCTCCGAACGCCCAGCTCTGGTTTTGCCAATCTGCAAATCTTTTTAGATCGCTAAGAGGTTTCGGAGTACCAACTCTTGTAAGTAGCCTATTGATTATGTAATCAAATCTTCTGCACTTGGCTGTTCACTTCATCAAAAAAAAAAGATTGGTAGGCTTACATTTTTTAGAAGCATAAATCGGGATTACCACTTGATCTAGAGCAATTGCTCACAACCTTCACCCTATGCACATCAATTAGGCACTGTTTACCTGTTGCCATTTATAGCCAGACTATGCACAACACGGAGATTAGTCAAGGGCAGCATTAGCCAGAACACAAATGTCACCTGAAGCAAATTAGTATTTTCTACTATGTTGAAAACAAGTAGAACACATCATTATAACAGAGTATTTCCTAGTAGTAGTAGTAGTAGTAATAATAAACTTATTATTATTATCATAAGATTATTATTATTATTATTATTATTATTATTATTATTATTTTATTTCTACCCCACCACCATCTCCCCGATGGGGACTCGGAGCTGCTTACATGGGGCCAAGCCCGGACAACATAATACAGCAATAAAATCAAAGCATATACATCAGACAACAACAACATTCTCAAAATGACATTATAATAATAATAAAATAATAATAGTAGTAGTAATAATAAAATAGAATAAAATACCAATAGATACAATCACGATAAAGATGACAATGGGTGGGCCACATATTTCAAATAAAAACAATTAACAGACTATGATGAGATAAAATAGGAGCAGGGAGTTAAATGGAACTCATAAAACACACAGAGTTGTGGGGCAGAACATCCTATTTGGTAGTAGAAAGGAACTTATGCAAACATATATTACCAGAAAGGACCCATACTGAGGAGTTCGAATTAAGAAGCTCCAGAATGCAGTAAAGGAGGAGTAGAACTAGTACAAGATAGATCAGGCATGAGCAAACATGAGCCCTCCAAGTGTTTTGGACTTCAACTCCCACCATTCCTAACAGCAGCCTTCACCCCGGAGCTTCCTCTCACACTGAGGCATTCTTATACTGATGCCTGCTAACACTGAGGACTGCCTCACACTAAGGTGTTCTCCCACTGAGGCAAACTAACACTGAGGCCTACTAACACAATGAAGCTGATAGGCTGTTAGGAATTGTGGGAGTTGAAGTCTAAAACACCTGGAAGGCCTGACCTAGATTGATTTTCTCCATTTAAACCTCTCAGTCCCCACTGAATGCTGAGCACGTGGATGAGAGCGAGTTGCTGAGACATAGGTGGTCTGGAATTGTATTCCATACTTAGTACAACCTTGCCTCGTAGGCACAAAAATATTAATCCAAAAATATTTTAAATGGGAGTAGAAAACTACCACCAGCAATTCAGTATATCTTCTTTTCAGCAGAGATCTATGTCAGAAATATTAAAAATTAACTAGGCATTTTTAATTACAAAAATGTGAATCAAGCACTGAAAGGATTAAATGGGTGCAGTGATAAGATGTTCCTTTAGCTTAGTAGCCATCAGAAGTAGCCCTCTGTGGGAGAAGGGCCTCAGTATGTTAGCAGGCCTCAGTGTTAGTTAGTCCAGATACATTGTGTTGTTCTCTCACCCAGTATTTTTAAACTTTTAATCCTTGCAACCGACCCTGCCCACTATGATTAATTCTCTGTGTTCAAATATTGTGATTTTATATTGTCTGATGTGTTTATTTATAATGTTTCTTGTATTTTATTTTATTTTTATATTTTATTGTTGTATTCTTATGTTGTACATTTGCATTGTTGTACTGCTAGGCTTGGCCTCATGTAAGCTGCCCTGAGTCCCCTTGGGGAGATGGTGGTGGGGTATAAATAAAGCTTTTTATTATTATTATAAAAAGAACAACATTATCAGAACTGAAAATCTCCATGTTAAAACAACAACATGGGATAGTGAGAAATTATTCACAACAATAACAACTTTAAGAGTTGTACTTTTAAAACACCGATATAGAAATTTCAAATGTTCAGAATACTATACCTGTGTTAGATTGCAATTTTAAGAACTATTTTATTAGTAGTAACCCTAGACTGCAGATGTGAGAGAAGGTGACAGCAACTCTAATAAGGACATTGAGTGACCATATAACTGATCTCAGTCATTGCTCTGCATCAGAAAAACAAACAGAATGCTATAGCCACTCTTTATGTGACAATGTGGAGTTTCGGAATGAGATGTTATCTCTACGCAGATGATGTCCAGATCTGTCACTCCTTTTCACCTGTCACCAAGGAGGCTGTCCAGACCTTGAACCGGTGCTTGGCTGCTGTGTCGGACTGGATGAGAGCTAACAAATTGAAATTGAATCCAGACAAGACAGAGGTCCTACTGGTCAGTCGTAAGGCCGAGCAGGGTATAGGGTTACAGCCTGTGTTAGACGGGGTTACACTCCCCCTGAAGACGCAGGTTCGCAGCTTGGGAGTGATCCTGGACTCATCGCTGAGCCTGGAACCCCAGGTCTCGGCGGTGGCCGGGAGAGCTTTTGCACAATTAAAACTTGTGCGCCAGTTGCGCCCGTACCTTGGGAAGTCGGATCTGGCCACAGTGGTCCACGCTCTTGTTACATCCCGAATAGATTACTGCAACGCACTCTACGTGGGGTTGCCTTTGAAGACTGTTCGGAAACTTCAATTAGTCCAACGGGCGGCAGCCAGATTACTCACCGGAGCGTCATACAGGGAGCATACCACCCCTCTGTTATGTCAGCTCCACTGGATGGGTTCCGGTCCAGCGTATCTGTCTGAACGCATCTCCCTCTACGTCCCACCTCGGAGTTTGAGATCATCTGGGGAGGCCCTGCTCTCGACCCCACCGCTATCACAAGTGAGGTTGGTGGGGACAAGGAGCAGGGCCTTCTCAGTGTTGGCCCCTCACCTATGGAACTCACTCCCAGGGGAAATTAGGTCATCAACATCCCTCCTCTCCTTCAGGAGGAAATTAAAAACATGGTTGTGGGACCAGGCCTTTGGGCAATCTGACAACTAGATAAAGACAATTAGACGACTAGGACTGACAGGACTGACAAAGTGGAATTGGAATTTGGACTATAAGATGGCGAATGCTGAGCGTTAATTAGGTGAAATCAGTTTTATTGGTTTTATTGTTGCAGTGCAGAGACTGATTGTTAATTGTTTAATTGCTGCTATATTGTTTTTATTCTACTGTTATGTTGATGCCGGCATCGAATTGTGCCTTTGTAAGCCACCCTGAGTCCCCCTCTGGGGAGAGAAGGGCGGGGTAGAAGTAACCGAAATAAATAAATAAATAAATAAAATTACCTCTATTTCCTGCAACTGCTCTTGATTGGTCGAATACATCTGCTGCAGAGATGTTTCCAGCTCAGTGTTCCGGTCCAACAGCGTCTTTCCAAGCTCAGCAGCAAGATGGAGATCTGAAATGAGTAGTGATCATTTTACCCAATGCCATGGCTACCATTTTACAGTAGAGTCTCGCTTATCTGACATAAACAGACTAGCAGAACGTCTGAGAGATGAAAATGTCAGATAATACGGTGTCTACTACCGTCTGACGCGGCACTAGCCACCTAAAATACTAACAGCAGGGACTCAAAGAGTTAAGGCAAGGCAATGCCTCGGATCTAGAGAGTTCCATCAGGAAGTGCCCGGATATGGAAGAGGAGCATGGAAATCGCAGAGGGAAGGAGGGAGAACGCTTCCACTTCCGGCCCTGCCTCTTTTCCCCCTTCCTTATCTTGACTTTTTCACTTATTGGAAATTGAGAGAGAGTTTGGGAGCACTCCATTAATTGAAGGGGAAATGCTGGAGGAAAGGGGGAGCGTCGGATAAGACAGAATGTCGGATAAGCGAGACTCTACTGTATTTTCAACGTGCCTTTCAAAACGAAGGAGAAACAAAACTAATTACACTTCTGTAGCTTTTGAGAGAAACAAGTTAGAGTCTAGATGTTCCTTCATTTTCTTTTTGGGAGTAGGATGTACTTCCTGATGTTTGTTTACAACTGAGCCACAGAAGGGGGTGATTTTGAAACTATCTATTCCAACACATGACATCAAAAGCAGGAAAAGACTGATCCATTATATTCTCGCAGCAAAGTAAGTATTTAAAAAGTTGTGTTTTTTTTTTGCCAAACGAAATTAGTTTTTAAGGGGACGTATTTGGTTCAGCTCTGGGAGACATGGTAGTCTGATGGACCAGGTTTCTTGTGTTTTTGATGCTGCTCCTTTACAGAAGTTTGGTGTAGACCCAAGTGTTGGCGTCAAACCAGAAAATGCAAGCTATTTTTAAACAAACCAGCTTCTGTTGATATAAAGTGTGTGTGCAAGTGCTCTTGGGCACAGAGTAGACACGTTCTGAAACTTGCTTAAGCGGCTGAGGGGGGAAAAGAAAAGGCCTGAGGCTGCTAGGAATTATGGGAGTTGGAGTCCAAAACACCTGGAGGGCCCAAGTTTGCCCATGCCTGATTTAATATGCTAAACATGTCTTCACATAAAACTACTATAGACCTTGAAATTCTTCACAAAGGTTAAATCTGTGGTATTAAGGCCAATGTTTACTCAGCACATTGCATTATTTTTTTAGCAGATAAGTGGGAAAGTAGCTCAATCTCCGATTGTTATAATTATTATGTCTGGATTTTGCAAGGCAACGCAGGACACAGACTGATCTGCAATATAAGACTAAGTGAGAAATCCCGACATCTTGGTGACAATAGAAAAATAAAAGTCAAAACACCCAGTTATCTCTGTCCGACACATATATATCTTAATAAGCATCTCGGCATACAGTGATAGCTCATAAGATTGTTGACATTAGCGGCATGTTGCAAGGATATGAACACAAACAATCCAGGATCTCCAAGGTCCACAACCTTTTGCAGAATAAGTTACAACTCGCCCAAGCTTTTGCTGGAAAATGTAGTCATATTGCTCTCTCCCTCCTTAAGACTCTGATGGATGGACTGAAGATCCTCATGGGCTTTTGCAAGATACTGAAACCACTGAATATGAAGGGACGATGTGGATCAATTCTCAGCAGAAAAGGTTCTGGCCCAATTTACCTGTCCAAACGCATCTCCCCTTATGAACCATCTAGGACCTTAAGATCGTCTGGGGAGGCCCTGCTCTCGATCCTGCCTTCATCACAAGTACGATGGCGGGGACGAGAGACAGGGCCTTCTCAGTGGTGGCCCCTTGGCTATGGAACGCCCTCCCTAGGGATATCAGATTGGCTCCCCCCCTTTTAACATTTTGGAGGAGTTAAGACATGGTTGTTTGAGCAAGCATTTACAAATGCAGAGTAACTGACATAGGAAATGGAATGACTAGACAATGAAACTGGACAATGTTTTAACAAGGAGTTGCTAATGATGTTGGTTTTTATTGTTTCTGTTGTGGTGTTATATTATATTTTAATGTTTCTATTGCATCTTGATATTGTGCATTGATTTGCTGCCTGTAAACTGCCTTGAGTCACCAAAAGGCTGGGAAAGGCGATATACAAATACAGTAAATAAATAAATAAATAAATAAATAAATAAATAAATAAATAAATAAATAAAAAAGGTGCATGCTATAGTAATGTTGCTGGGTTCGGTAAAACCTTCAATGGATTGAAGTTGTCTTACACTCCTTGCACAATGGTCAATACCTATTGAAAAGGGGGGGAAATGTGCATTGGTAGTGGGTTGCTGTGAGTTTTCCGGGCTGTATGGCCATGTTCCAGAAGCATTCTCTCCTGATGTTTCGCCCACATCTATAGCAGGCATCCACAGAGGTTGTGAGGTCTGTTGAAACGTAAGCAAGTGAGGTGGAATGTCCAGGGTGGGAGAAAGAACTCTTGTCTGCTTGAGGCAAGTGTGAATGTTGCAAATAGCCACTTTGATTCACATTTAATGGCCTTGCAGTAAAATCAAGACAGTAAATAAAAAAGCAACACTCAAAAAGGAGGGGAATTCCAGACAAGAATCAATCAGCGCTAGCTAACACCTCCCAACAAAAGATTTCCCCCAGGCAGCAGCCAGCCAGGCTTTGAAGCTGCAAGGCCTTAAATGCTTGAGGAAAGTGATGTGGATAGCATTTTATTTATTTATTTATTTATTTACTATATTTATATACCGCCCCTCTCAGCCCAGAGGCGACTTGGAGCAGTTCACAATTGGCAACAATTTGATGCCTCAACAATCATAACAAAACAATCATGAAATACTGTTAAAAGCATTAGAATACAAAATAAGAATATAAAAAAAACCATACAAAACCTTAAAACATTATCATAAGTATCTCCATGTCATAGCATTGAATGGCATTGCAGCTTCAAAGCCTGGCTGCTTCCTGCCTGGGGATAATCTTTTGTTTGGAGGTGTTAGCTGGCCCTGGTTGTTTCCTGTCTGGAATTCCCCTGTTTTCTGAGTGTTCTTCTTTATTTACCATCCTGATTCTAGAGATTTTTAAATACTGGTAGCCAGATTTTGTTCATTTTCATGTTTTCCTCTTTTCTGCTGAAATTATCCACGTGCTTACGGATTTCAATGCTTTCTCTGTGTAGTCAGACATGGGGGTTGTGAGTGTGATCCAGAATTTCTGTGTTGTCAAATAATATTTTGTGTCCAGGTTGGTTCACCAGGTGCTCTGCTATGACTGACTTCTCTGGTTGAAGTAGTCTACAGGCTGTTAGGAATTATGGAAGTTGAAGTCCAAAACGCCTGGAGGACAGGAGTTTGCCCATGCCTGGTTTAGAGAATGGGTGCTCTGGCAGTAAAAATCTCTCTCTCGAATCTGCATGATCCAAAACCTTCAAATTGCTAGGAAATGAGGACAGATTATAAGGCAAGTCCTAGATACCTTTTGAAAAAGGTGCCCCACTTTCCGTATACATAACTACTTAAAGTAGTTTAATTTACAGGCTGTAAAGACATAATCCTAATGAACAAGAAGTATTATATATCACCTCTAGTGGGAAATAAATGTTATGTTAATAGGTACAAATCTGAACAGGTGGAGCTACTGTTCAACATCCAAAGGTGAACAAGTACAAGGGTTTCCTGATAAGGTGGTGGCGCCCTGTAACCTCCAACTTACGGTGTAAGGCAAAGTCTAATTCTTGGTTCTCAAGGGTGACAAGCACAGAGCTGCGCTGTATTGGATTAGCTGCATTTGCGATGATGAGAAAGAGACTCTGTGTTTCTGCCTCTAAGCCTCCATGCCCTCCTCCAGACCTCATGCCCTCAATGGTTTTCTTTGCATACAGCATTCAGCAGCAGCCATGATCCTGGCACCAATGGATTGATGGGAGAGCTGTTCAGCAGTGGAACTCTCCTTGCAGCTTCAAAGCCTGGCTGCTTCCTGCCTGGAGGAATCCTTTGTTGGAAGGTGTTAGCTGGCCTTGATTGTCTCCTATCTGGAATTCCTCTTTTTTTTGAAGTGTTGCTTTTTATTTACTGTCCTGATTTTTAGACTTTTTAAAATACTGGTAGCCAGATTTTATTCATTTTCATGGTTTCCTCTTTTTTTGTTGCAATTGTCCACATGCTTGTGGATTTCAATGGCTTCTCTGTGTAGTCTCACATGGTGGTTTGCCCATGCCTGGTTGACACACTTTTATATGTAGATGTATAGACAGAGGCTGGCATTCCATTCATTAGTTATTAGATCATAAACTGGATTTGTAATCTCACAGCTCTAGGGATTCAAATGTACAATGGGTTGCAGTGAGTTTTCCGGGCAGTCTGGCCGTGTACTAGAAGCATGCTCTCCTGATGTTTCACCCACTTCTATGGCAGGCATCCTCAGAGGTTGTGAGGTCTGTTGGAAACTAGGCAAGTGAGCTTTATATATCTGTGGAATAATGTCCAGGGTGGGAGAATATTGCAAATAGCCACCTTGATTAGCATTGAATGGCCTTGCAGCTTCAAAGCCTGGCTGCCTGCTGCCTGGGGGAGTCCTTTGTTGGGAGGTGTTAGCTGACCCTGATCGATTCTTGTCTGGAATTCCCCTGTTTTTTGACTGTTGCTCTTTATTTACTCTCCTGGTTTTACGGTTTTTTAATACTGGTAGCCAGATTTTGTTCATTTTCATGCTTTCCTCCTTTCTGTTGAATTTGCCCACATGCTTGTAGATTTCGATAGCTTTTCTGTGTAGTCTGACACGGTAGTTGTTAGAGTAGTCCAGCATTTCTGTGTTGTCAAACAATATTCTGTGTCCAGGTTGGTTCATCAGGTGCTCTTCTATGGCTGATTTCTCTGGTTGAATTAGTCTGCAGTGCCTTTTGTGTTCCTTAATTTATGTCTGGGCAATGCTGCTGCGTTTGGGGGTCCCTATGTAGACTTGTCCACAGCTGCATGGTATACAGTAGACTCCTGCAGAGGTGAGAGCATTCCTCTTGTCCTTGGGACAACACTCAGAAAACAGGGGAATTCCAGACAGGAAACAATCAGGGCCAGC